AAAAACCCAAAACTTTAGAATTTCCGATAAGAACACGTGCTCAGCTGCACGCCCTGTTAGGAACAACAACACACACCTGAGGTGCAAAACCGCTGCTACAAATAAGAACGACAGCAATGCAGCGGCTGCCAGATAAGAATACTCACAGGGGGAGGGAGGGAAGAGGAGGGAGTGATCCCAGAGTACAGAGTATTGGATTTGGGAGGGGTACATACCCCACGTATCAACATTTGTCTATTTTTAGAGGGGGAGGGTGGGCATTGTACGCACGCGTCGTGCCCCTGGGTGCCCCCGAGAAAAGCGTGATGCGCGGGCGGGGTGAGCTCCCCAAGGCGAGGTCTATTCTCATCATGGACAACTTGCACGCGCAGACCACGGACGAGTTCAAGGAGTATCTTGCGAAGCACTGCAACACTCTCGCCTGGTATGGCCCTTCGGAGTGCAAGGACGAGGTGTAGCCAGTTGGTGCAGGAGCCGGACGATTTCTCAAGGTGGAAGTCGGGAGGCAGATGGACATATGGCTCGAGCAGTCGGACAACCTCGAGAGGTGGGAAACCGCATCGCTGACTGTCACAGCTTCTGATCGGCGCGTCCTGATTACTCAGTGGATGGGAGCGGCCATGGCAAGACTCAACCGCCAATAGGCGTACCGATACCGTCTTTTCGAAAAGTGTGGGATGGCCATGACCGTGGACGGCTCGGGCGATGATCGAATCACCTTGGAGGGTTTGGACAAGCTGTATACCTTCGCTAACGATGAAGACAGTAGCGACGACGAACAAGGTTCGGAGAACGGCAACGATGAGCCTGAGGGGCGGGCGGAGGAGGGCGATGGAGGACGTGAGACGCTCATGGAGGGCGTTGACTCCAGCGATGAAGATGACGGCGGTAAGTTTGTTTTGCACAACAAAACCAACTCATCATCTTCTTTTTGGTGATGACGATGTCCTTCATGTTGACGTTAGCTTGTTTCCGCGCACGGCTACACTCAAATTATGATAAGTTCAGGTTGAGTTTGGCGACGTGACACCCTAACTTTGTGTTTTCCCGTTGCCTCGTTCGCAGACATCTCTCAACCCCAGACCGACGAGCTAGCTCTTCTGGACGATGACGACAGCATGGAGCCACAAGACCCGGAGGATGAGATACAGGGAATGGAGATCCCGGCAGGCTTTCGTATTCAAGAAGCTAAACCCGTTGCTCTTGACAGATTGCTTTTGCGGCGTGGAGTGCTCGTTAGGCTGGGCATGGGGTGGTTTGGAGGGCTGATCACTCAACAATCTCAGAAGGACACTCGCCACCTGTACGACTACTGTGTGCAGCTGGAGCTAGACCAGAGTACGCGCAAGATGAAGTTGCCCTTAGACAAGTACAGCGGAGATTCGGATGCGGCTGTAGGCTCCTGGTTCTTTATTTTTATTTTCTTAATATCACACAACAAATCCATCTCTATCTATAGAAATATGTCTAAGATAGGTTAGCAATGAATCCATAGTGTGAGCGAAAGATACCTGTATGACTACGGTTTCCCAGACAGCTCCGAAAACCAGGAGAGGTGGGGGAGTAGCTCAGACGAATGGCTGCGTGTGCGCTCCTTCATGTGCATACTTGGCTGACTCTTTGAAGGACATAATTCTGGTTCAGTGGAATTTTGGCGGCATTTCGGCATTTCCGATATTTGCCGTTGTCACCTGGATGCATGGGACACGTAAATTTGTAACTCTACTTGCGAGGGACACCTTCCATTTTCAGTGTTCCCCCTTGCGGTTTTGCTTGAGAGCATTAGTAGATCAGGAAGGGTACGCAGGACCAACGTCACCCTTGTGGACCAAGAAGGTTGGCAGTTGCTGCTCCATGCCTTGATATTTTCTTGTATCGACAGCAGTACTAGTGTTGCTCATGGTTGACAGCCGACAATATAGCAAATGATGTTAAAATACTGTAAGAACAAGAGCGCCCCTTTCTGGAAAAGAATGAACGACGAAATAAGAACTTGGCAAATAAGAACTGGTGCTCGGGTTGGGGCAGCCAATAAGAACTGAGCCTCGCCCAATATGGAGCTCCTTAAGTGCGGGCCGGCACTGTAGTTCCGATTCCCAGGCTTTGGAACACGCAGTTGCAACTTGAAACAGCACAGCCCTAAGATCAGCAGATGTGAGAATGTCTACAATACCGTGTCGAAACTCCATGATGCTTGTCACTGACGTATCGTTTCAGGTTGGGACCCCGATAACGCGATGCCCCTTGTCAGCCCCTTTGACCCTTGCCCGACACGTCGCCTGCGACGTCTGGCTGCTGCCTAGGACCATGATTTCTAGAACTTTTGTGATTACGTTTGTGTTGATGTTTCTCGGCCTCTTATTTGCTCTTCAGGATTTCTAACTGCATCGTTTGCAGGGCTGCTGGCCTGTGGCCACGAAACGTGAGCTGCACCAGGAAGGATGTTGAAGGTTTTCAACTCATGGCTGCACCCCTCTTTTCTTGTCGCGTCCCAACCGCTGTTCGCTTGATACAACAGGTCAATCACCGCGCACCCCTGCTGGCCTGCTTCTGTGCATCTCCAGCACTACCGTACTCGATGTTGCTGGAGTTCAACCTCCGGTGGAACCTGAGGATGATGGTCAAGAACAGTGGCTTGCCCGCAGCGCTGGGAACACACTACAACAAGTATCTTGGGAAGCTGATCCAGCGGGCCACGGGGACTGGGAGTCGAGTTACCCCGTCCCCCCGGAGTGGCCGGCCGCCATCGACCCAGTAGGCACGGGCGAGATGGGTTGGTTCGCCATGAGCTTTCGGGGGGTAGAGGCTGCGGAGGCATGAAAATTCCACGATGATGAGGGTTTGTGTGTTCGTGTGGACGAAATTACTGATGACCGCGGCCGAACGCTGCTGTCGCACTTGATGCTTTCACGGCAAGGATGGGCAAAATGATGCCAGAATCGAGGGTCCATACCAGGGACGAGGAGCGCAACTTCAGATACGACCTGGCGCTGCTGACGGCAGAGGAACAACATGGGAGGGCTTGCACTGTTAGTACCAGCGGGAACAACGCTCTCCGTTTCGACCTTCAACAGCCCGGGAACGGGGCTGCGTGCGAGGGCTCGGTTGAAGAGATGCAGCCTGGCCTTCTGTTCTTATGGGCATCGCAATATTCTGGAAGGCTGGCCTGGCGGGGGGAGGGAGCAGGGGGAGGGAGCAGGGGGAGGGAGCGGGGTGTGGGATGAAGACACGGGGGGGGGGGCTGAGTCAGTGGGGGTGCTTGTGGCCACCGCCGTCCGTGCTGCGCCAGCTACTGGAGCGTGGATGCTGATGCTGATGGGGGGGAGGGGGGGCAACGGTGGTGGTAAGCAGCCGCGTAAGACGAACGAGAGAAAGACGTACCACATTGGGTTTTGTAGTCATGTGGTAGATTGTTTGTAGGCAAGGATTTGCTGCGTGTGACGACTGTCATTTCTCAGGGTGAGCAAATTGTGTTCTTACTCTGTTTCTACTCTGGATGTACGTGTTTGTTTGTGCCCGTCGTCCCATTTGTTCTGGAATTCAGTTTTTTTTTATACGTTCCGGAATGCTTTTTTCTGGATGCATCATCAGCCGGGGTCAAGAAGGAGGAAGGCCACACAACAGGAGATTTCGCGTCTTTTGTTTCACACCTTCCTTCTACCGTGTGCTTACTTTCACTTTTAGACACGAAAGAATGCAGCCGTCGCTTTTCATCGTCGACCGTGAACTCGAAGCTGCACTGGCGGGTATTACATGCCATCATTAGGGCTCTGTATTCTACCAACTGCACGCACCGGGACAACCGAGCGGCCGGTGCGTCTGTCTTTATTTTTTGTCTATTTGCGCTTAATGTGAATACATATCAACGCGAAGCGTCTTTTCGCCGACCCAACTTCACCGATTGAAATTCACACCTAGAAGCTTCGCCGTAGGGACCACTGCAGGCAGGACCTGGTGCGAGATCGGCTCGCAGCTTGCGTGATATTTGATTGAGTCAAAATCGTTGTTGCCTCCGGCGACCTTGTGCGTCTACAGTATACATCCACAGCAGCAACGGCAGCAGCATCGTTGTTGCAACGAATTGATTCTTGCAATTTTCTGCTTGAAATGAACCCCAACTCAACCACGGCAAGGCAAACACATCAGGGAGTGTAACGGAAATCTCCGTACGGAAAACGAGCATCATCGCGACGAGAAAACGTAAAACGTTATTTCTCTACATGTAATGTCTCGTCTCTCTTTTTTCTCATTTTCTACGGCATTGAGAAAATACGCCTCCTCGCATTTTTTTCGCGCTTCGCGCGAAATAATTTAATTCCCCAGCTGGACCCCTAAACATGGAATCGGAGCCGGCAGATTGATTTCCGATACCAACCCACCGTGTCGTTATGCCGGGATTTTTTTATTTATATTTGTCGACGTTTTCCGGCTCCGCCACCACTACAGCCCACCACCGTCAACTATGAAGGCACGTCCGCGTAGCTAATAGTCCTGATGAGTCCTCCCCGCTGAAGAGACGAAGGGAAAAGAGGGTGTGTGGCGTCCTGGGTCGGGAAAACAGCGTTGGAGAAGTACCGTCTCAGTAATCAGGCATTTTTCCGATGTGGGACTTCTTCCATATCGTCCCCGGGCAAGCGGTTTGGCGCACTTACACCACCGGTCGCCCCGGTGGTCTAGTGGATAGCCTCGCAGCTTGCTAAGGGCCAGGTCATGGGCTCGAGTCCCGACAGAGTGAGCTTTTTCTCGCTAATTAAATCCTGGTCTCCGTTGGAAGCGATGCGCTGCAAAGAAAGCTCGTTGTTAGTAAACCTGATCAACTTCTTAAGTCGCGAGGGAAGGGATTGCTGTACCCTTCTCGCGATAAAAATATCTCAGGCAGGAACCGCAGGAGGGGGTCCAACCCCCCCCTCCTGTGTGACCCCGGTTGGGTCGTCTAGATGGTAGAAGTGGAGGATAGAGGCCAGAGGGGCAGACGACAGAGTCCAATGATGGGAGAAAAACAAACGAAAAAAAAAAAACACCTGCGCCACCCTGGGTCTATGTAGGCTGCTGGAACAAGACCACACAGTACATAAGTCTTACACATCATACTAGACCCTGTATAGCAGTTTTCCGCCAGTGTTTCGCAGGTCTGTGCTTGTTACTAGGGTCAAACACACGCTGAGACTTGGAGCAGATTTGGCTGAACAGACGGATTTGGAGGACGCATACAGTGCCGGCCCGCACTTAAGAACCTCCCATGTTGGGCGAGGCTCAGTTCTTATTGGCTGCCCCAACCCGAGCACCTGTTTTGATTTGCCAAGTTCTTATTTCGTCGTCCATTCTTCTCCAGAAAGGGGCGTTCTTGTTCTACAGTATTTTAACATCATTTGCTATATTGTCGGCTGTCAACCATGAGCAACACTAGTACTGCTGTCGATACAAGAAAATACCAAGGCATGGAGCAGCAACTGTCAACCTGCTTGGTCCACAAGGGTGACGGTGGTCCTGCGTACCCTTCCTGATCTACTAATGCTCTCAAGCAAAACCCAGGAGCCTACAGCCGCATCCGAATCTCCGCTGTACTTGTCTAAGAGCAACTTCATCTTGCGCGTACTCTGGTCTAGCTCCAGCTGCACACAGTAGTCGTACAGGTGGCGAGTGTCCTTCTGAGATTGTTGAGTGATCAGCCCTCCAAACCACCCCATGCCCAGCCTAACGAGCACTCCACGCCGCAAAAGCAATCTGTCAAGAGCAACGGGTTTAGCTTCTTGAATACGAAAGCCTGCCGGGATCTCCATTCCCTGTATCTCATCCTCCGGGTCTTGTGGCTCCATGCTGTCGTCATCGTCCAGAAGAGCTAGCTCGTCGGTCTGGGGTTGAGAGATGTCTGCGAACGAGGCAACGGGAAAACACAAAGTTAGGGTGTCACGTCGCCAAACTCAACCTGAACTTATCATAATTTGAGTGTAGCCGTGCGCGGAAACAAGCTAACGTCAACATGAAGGACATCGTCATCACCAAAAAGAAGATGAAGAGTTGGTTTTGTGCAAAACAAACTTACCGCCGTCGTCTTCATCGCTGGAGTCAACGCCCTCCATGAGGGTCTCACGTCCTCCATTGCCCCCCTCCTCCCGCCCCTCAGGCTCATCGTTGCCGTTCTCCGAACCTTGTTCGTCGTCGCTACTGTCTTCATCGTTAGCGAAGGTATACAGCTTGTCCAAACCCTCCAAGGTGATTCGATCATCGCCCGAGCCGTCCACGGTCATGGCCATCCCACACTTTTCGAAAAGACGGTATCGGTACGCCTATTGGTGGTTGAGTCTTGCCATGGCCGCTCCCATCCACTGAGTAATCAGGACGCGCCGATCAGAAGCTGTGACAGTCAGCGATGCGGTTTCCCACCTCTCGAGGTTGTCCGACTGCTCGAGCCATATGTCCATCTGCCTCCCGACTTCCACCTTG